ATAATATTTTTAAAATTCATTGATAATTTCCACTTGTAAATTCACATGTCTTGGCAATAATTCCAGAACGAGATTTCAACGAGACTGAAACTCAGAGGAATACATCCTTAAACTGTAAATTATATTTTCAACTATAAAATCTAAAAATTTCTGTCTGCTCGAATGATTTTTTTGTCTGACATTTTGTCTGTCGGACAGAGTTTGGGATACACTGCTGCACCATTCTTACCAATTAATGCAGAAACCTTCTTTGATTTATCCTAGAGTTTAACGTTACACTGGTCAGTTATGACACGTTAAGTTATCATTCTGTGGTTAATTCAAGGATAGGTACCATAGATAATTAGACCTTTGGACATATAATCTTGATTAAATTACTTATATGTCCTTACTGAGAACAAACTGTGATGGACTAATTCACCTGTTGAAAATTCAGGACTTCATGAATTCATGAGATATATATATGAAAATTAATGTGAAATCTAACGGTACACACTTAATATTACATTTTAAAAACCAAAGCATTTTAAATTGGACATATATCAGTCTGAAAACAATCCTATAAAAGAAAAAGTTAAAAGGATCCTTCAATTTGGACTTAAATAAGTTAAGAGGTATCAAAACAGAATCATATATAAATGTATATATATGTAATACTAATTGTTTGCAACAAATCAGAATTGTCTATCAATCAATGTAAACGTTAGGTTTCTCGGGCTAAAGCTCTTTAAAAATTTCTGGTCAGTTTTATTTAGCTTTTTAAAATCATAGATCTACTAAGTCATATTTAAAACTGCTTATTTTTCAAATATCAGAATGTTTATATTCTTGCAGAAAGCAAGTTGTTAAAACCAGATTTTGGCCAAGGAGCAGGTTAAGGTTTATGTATTTTCTGATCATTTTTAATCAAGCATGAAGCGTTACATGTGGTATGAAATGGTGTTTCATATTGAACATGTCCATTGTATTGCTACATTTGTACATTCAGATATTAGACAAATATTTTATTAATTTAGTTGATTTGGTACACATTTGATAAAAGAATGACTTGTTCGTGTATTGACTGTTTAAGTTATGTCTTGTTTGTTTTCAAATAATTAATGTTATTTAAATTATTATTGTATGTTGAAAAATATATTTTCAGTTATAATTTAATTTAAAATAAATTTGCTCAACATTAAGTATAGATCTTAATCCTGATGTAAACTAGACCATATAAAGGTGAAATCTGTCAGGGTTAGATCAACCTAAACTGACCACTGGTCATTTTGGATTTAAATTTTTCGTCCTCTAAGAATGACAAAGTTGATAGAGAATTAAAGGTTTACAGAAATATATTGACTAAAGTGTTATCATAATCCATATTTGATTAATAAGTTTAACTATAACTCACATGAATTAGGAAGGCTAATATCACAATATATTTTGAACAAATTGAATATGTTTTTTTTACCAAGGAGGAATAAAATTTAAAATATTGCTTTAAGATTTGTTCAATAATTACATTAAATTTTTGAAGTGAAGGATAGATTTTAGTTTTGTACTAGCATTAATATGTTTGCATTTATTTTAGTCTCCATAACAAGGTGCAGGGCTGAGTTTTGTCTCGCCTGCGAGGAAAGTTGCAGAAAGCGAGTCATACGGATTGCTTTCCCAGTGACGGCAATGGCTGCAGTGATGGGGTCAACAATTGTTAAGTTTTCTACTTAAGTTAGTTTGAAAGGAACTACTTGTGATAGATCATAGATATTTTGTATGAAGTTGCATTACTATCAGTACATATATGTTTGAGGACTATTTCAAGGCCCTGCCCCTAGGTCATGGTCCAGCAACTTTGAATTAATTAGAAATTTTCAGTGTTAAGTTTTCTGCTTAAGTTAGTTTGATAGGAACTACTAATGTGATAGATCAATGATATTTTGTATCGACTATTTTTGAGGCCCTTCCCCCCTACTGGTCATGCTCCAGTGACTTTGAATTAATTTTTCTGCATTTATAATTAGTCAGTTTGATAAGAACTACTTATGATAGATCAATGATATTTTGTATAAAGTTGCATTAATTTACTATCAGTACATATCAGTTTGGCGATTATTTTCAGGCCCTTAGCAGCCTACTAGATAATGGTCCAGTGACTGAATTAATAAATCATGTTGCTGTCCATTAGATTGTCTTTTTCTGAATTTTATGCCGAGAGGCGAGACAATATCTCTGTGTCAACAGTTTATTATAAAAAAACATTGGAACTTTTCACCAAAGACAGATAAAATAAGTGATAAAGCAGGAGACATTGGATTGAAGTCTCCTTTTTGAGTAGAGATTTCCACTATTATGAAGTAATTGCTGAATTTCTCAGAAAAAAAACGTATCAACCACAAACTTTATTAGTTTCCAGATGACTTCCCAAGCATAACCATCATCAAATATTTTTTTTTAAATTCTGAAATCTTGAATAAAGTGATCCTTCATCAGTGACTTTTTATCTCATGAATCTTGAACTTGAAGAAATAAAGCTTTAAACAGATGAATACTCAAGCTGAGTGGGTTCTTGGAAAGGGTTGTATATAACACTCCTTTCTAAATTTTTAAAAAATAAATTCATAAAATCTACTTTCGTTTTACTTATCAAATTTCTGTAGCATTAAATTATATCCTTTACGGCACCCATATATTTAAGATTTGTGTACATTATGAATTAAGTTTTATCTTTTAGTCCTATGTTTATTCATTGTACGTTATATATTTATTTGATGTGTATACCCTTATAAGTGGGTGAGAAATATTTTAAGTCACTTTTGGTCTATTGTTTTGATTTCAAGAGTCCAAATAAGTAATGCAAACTTGTTACTGGAGCCAGTCGGACTGATAAGTTCAAAGGACAAAACACCCATTATTACCACAAAGTCAATAATTTTCCATATACAAGGATGGCCGACTTGTCAATTGGTAGATAAAATTCTAATAGATATTTGTTAGAGGGGATTCACAAAAGGTTGCTTGAAAAAGCTTCAATTGATTATTTGAACTATTCTGTTTCTAATTCTTCTGAGTATTTACATGGGATTATGGAATTTGCCTTGTATACGAAAGGGGAGTTCCAGAGGTCGGTATTATTGTTAATAGAAGTTGACTTTGTTAACCTCTTGATTCTGAAGTGTCTTGCAGTCAGTTGCTTAACTTGCTTGTGATCGACTTAAATGATATATCATTAAAGGCTGAATTAACAACACTTCAGCTTTTCTAGGCCACACTTAAAAAAAAAAAATTGTACTTACTTTTAAACCCAGATCAACCTTGGAAATTCTGTATACCATCTTATAAAGTATCGTTGTGCAAATCTCTAGACTTATATATTATACAATTATAGCCTTTGTATGAGGTCGATACGAGGTTATATCGACCTAAGAGAAGCATATGGACTGAGGACGAAGTCCGAGGTCGATATGCTTCTCTGGGTCGATATAACATCGTATTGACCTCAACCAAAGGCTACAATTGTTATATTATTAATCAACAACTATAGCATGAACAATGTAAAATTGGGGATTTCTAGAATCTATTTTTAGTAACATGCTGTATGCCCTGTGCAATATGCTGTTTTTGACCTACGAAAAGCTAAACACAACAGTATTGGCGTGCAAACTGAGCAAATACAAATGTACATGTGATCAAGTTTTCACGAATCACAAATCCTTGAAAATATTCGATTAATAATATATATATATATACAAGTCTAAATTGAAAACAACGTTCAAACCTATATATATATATATATATAAACTACTTTGCAAGTAGTCTAAGGTTGCTGGACACTGTGCAGGTGAAGTTGCCACAATCCTGCTCAGAGGGAAGCCTGTGAAATTTTACTAAGCTGCCTCATATTTGTAAACCAACATAATGTTGATTTCAGCTCTGTTTAAGAATTAGACATATAAAAAGAATGCATTCTGATGTAATAGAAATATTTGATATTAGAAAGCAAGTTATTTAAGATAATTTATAAGATGTGCCTAGGGTTAGGTCTGGAAGTTTATGAATCTTAGGAAAACCATTAAGCTGTATAAAGTGAGTCCCACTAATTTAAAATACCTCAATAGAATTTAAGTGACACCTGGAGTACACTTTGCATCCACATCTGTGTGCCTGTTAGACTTCGCATCTGTAGCCTGAATTTCACAGACTTAAGGACATTGATACATTATAACATTTTGGTTGATAGATGCATCTCTGAACGATTAGTACTGACCACAAACTTAATTCATATATCACTGTTTAGTGGCAAAAAATTTAAGATATATTTCACTTTTTTTATGCATTTTAATTTCCATGCTAAATATAATGAAAATGTAACTTATTTCCATTTCTGTTAATGCATTTGTATAAAAATACAGTTCTTTGTCAATATATTTTAATATAACCTGAGCATGGCAGTGCAAATGTTACATAATGTCACAACGCAAATAGTCAATCAGTCAACTATTGCATGCTTATCACAGCACTATCCTGGGGAGAACACTGGCTTTAATTAAACTTTTAAGCTTCTATCCAAGTTTTGTTCTCATATACATTTTTTGTACTAGAAGTGACCTATAATTATAATACTATACTTTGATTGATGATTGCTTAAAGTTCAGCTACAGTATTACATGTATATTCAGGAAAAAAAACCAATTTTGTTAAAGTCTAGGGTATGAATTTACCCTGCTTTGTTCTTGACCAACATGCTTCAATAGCTCATGACATAAGTATATATCCAGTCAGGTCAAACCATTGTTTTTGTTGATAATTTGTTGGAAATTCTAATGCCCTCAAATACAGGCAGATTTACTGTAAAAATGGCCAAATATAAAAAAAATACATGTCATTGGATTCATTGCCCTCATTTATATGAAGTAGGATTTTATTATAATTCCACTTGCCTCTTTATAGCTTCATTTTGAGAACAAAAATAAAAGAAGGCCTTGAGATTTAAGTCTAAAAAACAATATAATTGGACCTACCTTCAACTTGTTTGATGGCCTTAATCTAGATACATCTATACTTTCATTTCTGAAAAGTTAAAAAATGTATTCATTCATAAAATTGCTAACATATTATATGAGCATGCTATTTAAAAATGCATATGGATTTTCATTTTGTGAATACCTTTAAAAATGGATGATATAAAAATTTATCCTTGTATGTATAATAAGTAACAATACAATGACATAGACCAATATTGCAACCTACTGGGTAGGACATTTCAACCTTACAGTCTTTTTTATTATCTCAAAATTTAAACCTTCAGGTACAATCTATTTATAGTTTAATGTCGCAGTAGGTTTTTATAAATCACTGAAAAAATAAGGATAAAAGTAAAGAGTACATAATACTTATGTAAAGACATTCTCATACAAGATGTAAATTCTATTTTATTGTAAAAAATCAGCTGACTTAAAGCATTTAAATTCTTGTCGTCTAGTCCATTGAGAAAGCTAACTTGTGACCGTATTTTCTTTGATATCTACCTATTATAGGTGATTTGAACCTACCTCGAAGTTGATGGGACCTGGCCATGTTTGAAAGAAAAGAATGACATTGTCTTCAACACAAAACCTTTTTATAGATTATAAGTCTGAAATGTTCCTTTGTTTGATTAGTAGCTAGAATATTTACAAAATCACATAGGTCTCTGTCGGCGAACATTTAATGAATGAAAGTGGGTCTATCCCGTCTGTGTTAATCGGCGAATGCTGAGCTAGGAAACTTACAAGTGTAGACTTGTATAAGATAACTTGTCTTTTATCTACGTGTTTGCCAGTTACACCTTCCTGTGTTAATCTATATGTTTTATTCATTTAACTTTGAATGGGAAAAACTCCTTCCAATAGATCATTGGGTTCAAATAGTTTTATTCTTTATTTGTGAGGTCTAGAACATTATTTGGCTTACAATGCCCAGTACTATACATAAAATCCTTCAGTTACCTGAATCTGACCCTCTTTGTTGTATGGTATACCAAACTGTCAAAATTTGAAATGCAAATAAATTCACAAATTAATCAGCTGGCTTGCTTAATTGTAAAAAATGCAAATGAATGTTTCATAGATGTTAAGTAAATGGTATGCATTATTAAGAAGATGTGAGCTGGATCCACTTTGATGTTGTATGTTAATAGCTGTTACAAAGCTCTTAGAGCCAAGTTATGATCAAACTAAAGGTATTTTTATAGACAAAAAATGGAGAAGACATGTAATTGAAAGTGTTGACCTGTAGATGAGTTACATTATCTTTGACTGACAACATAATAGTAGTAGCAGGTGCTTGATTAAAGGATCTCATTAATACAATGACTACTGCTGATTACCATAGCCATGATGTAATCAATTCTGTAATATACCAGATCTCTTCATGTATTCATTGATTTCAAGTATATTAAAGAAAAGAATGCAGGAGTTTTAATCCATTAGTTTATTAACCCAGCTTTATAGCATGTGCAATCAATTCTAGATAATAACAAAAAACAAGTGTTCTAAAAAAATCCAGTTTAAAGTTTAAAACTCAGCTGATTCCTAAGTTAAATAATGGAATTTTCATTATTCGAAGGATATTGAAAGATTATAAAGTCATTGAACAGCCTGAAGCTTGTTTTATTCTGAAGATTGGTTGTACCTTAATGAGTTGGTATTCCAGCACCCTTATGTTGTTACATAATTGAGAATGTATGTAGCTGTCTGATATATCACAGAACACTACACTAAAAGAGGAAGTGAAAAAGTAGGTATACCCATAAAGGAGTGTATATAAGTGATATAAATATTGATATTATCAATGAGGTTTATTTTCTGATTATCTCAATTTTTTTGTTTGATGTTAGCACTTAAAAGTATACCTGAACATTAGGTATTTGTTTATTAACACAGGTAAAGATGAGATATGATGAGATATGTTAGGTTTGATATATAAATATTCATCTGGGGACATACAAACATTTAAAAGATTGTGGATGATTGTTGTACTTATCACCTTTACTTCTTTACAACAGATAAACCATTATATCAATATCTGTATTGCTAATCTCAAATCATTAAATCAGTTAATGTATTCCCCAACAAGTCAAATATACAGACAAAATTCTAACTGTTGAAAGATTGCAATGTTCTAAACAAGAGAATCGTTTAGTATTAACTTCAGTAAACTTCAACAATGGTGATAAAAAACCCAGTCACTATCACCTTTAATCAGTGAGATTACACACATATATATAACATTTTATATGGCTTATAAATCAGTGCCCTTTCTTGTCAAAATATAGTTATATGACCTGGCCTAGATATATAGTCATTTACATTGATGCAACATTATGCAAACATCAATGAATCAATCATTATCATGAGACGGCAACCAAAGAATTCAAATATCCAGGCCTACAAATTGTTAGGCAAGTGGAAAAGACGGTAACCAAAGAATTCAAATATCCAGGCCTACAAATTTTTAGGCAAGTGGAAAAGACAGCAAGCTAAGTAATTCAAATTTCCAGGCCTTCAAATTGTTTCGCAAGTGAAAAAAAATCTATTTAGAAATTGTCAGAAAACTAGCTGTACATGTAATTAGCATAGTTTTTTCTAATTTTTTCTAGACTGAAAACAAATTAGACAATTACATATTGTTTAGACACTTTAAGAATAAGAATGTGTGTAGTCATCTCTAGATCTCTCTGTTTTTGTGTTTTTTGGTTGCAGTCTCACTGTCATTGATGTCTTTAATAATTCATATGATTTTATCTTGCATCATATATAAAAGGCCTCCTATGGCATGGATTTATCGTTCAGAGTATAAGGAGAATATATTATTAAGTACATTTAAATGTACTAAGAAATTTTGAGAAGGAGCAGTTGTTCTTAAAGCTGAACACATTTGACACAAGTATGAATAAGAGTTGTGGGATAAATGTTCACTATTGAAGTATGCCCCTGCATTCCAAGACAAATAGGAGCATACTTGAATAGTGTCATTCCAAGCCATACAGGGGCATACTTGAACAGTGTCATTCCAAGACAAATAGGGGCATACTTGAATAGTGTCATTCCAAGCCATACAGGGGCATACTTGAACAGTGTCATTCCAAGACAAATAGGGGCATACTTGAATAGTGCCAATCCAAGAAAAAAAGGGGCATACATGAATAATGTCATTCCAAGACAAATAGGGGCAGAATAGTGTCCTTCCTAGACAAATAGGGGCATACTTGAATAGTGTCATTTCAAGACAAATAGGGGCACACATGAATAGTGTCATTCCAAGACAAATAGGGGCATACATGAATAGTGTCATTCCAAAACAAATAGAGGGATTCTTTAATAGTGTCATTCAAAGACAAATAAGGGTCTACTTGAATAATGTCATTTCAAGACAAATAGGGGCACACATGAATAGTGTCATTCCAAGACAAATAGAAGCATACTTGAATAGTGTTATTCCAAGACAAATAGGGGCATACTTGAATAGTGTCATTCCAAGACAAATAGGGGCATACTTAAATAGTGCCATTCCAAGATAAATAGGGGTATACTTGAATAGTGTCATTCCAAAACCAATAGGGGCATACTTGAATAGTTTCATTCCAAGAAAAATAGGGGCATACTTGAATAGTCGTCATTCCAAGACAATTCATAGTGATAAGCATAAACTGCATGAGAAGCTACTAGTATTTCTGTCGGTAATTATATAATGAGCCATAGATTGGAAGTTACTTCTTAAAATGAGTGCAGAGACGTTACTGCTAAGGCATTGAGTAGAATATATTTTCTTCCATATAAGGAGAAACAAATGTCATTGACACAGTTTTAAGACAAGGATATGAGACATGCACTGATGTAAAAGTTATGAGAGTGAGAGAATTGCATTAGATGGAAGATTTAAGGTTAAAAGAATGACAGAGGTTATTGTCATGTAATCAGAATAGATCAAAGGCTGTTTAAGACTGTCTGAAGTTGGGCTGTACTTTAGGAGACTTATGACCCTGGCTTATTCCTTGACTGCTGATTTTAAAATCCTGTGTAAGATTTGAATTATTTAATGTTTTTTCATTTCATTGTGATAAAATCAAATTGAAATGAAATTGTAACACATGCCTTTGTGAAGTTAAATCTACCCTGACTTGATAAGTATTTTTGACCCATATATGTACATTGTTGCAAATATTTTCTTTCATCAATCATAACTTACTAGACAAGCATATTTTCTTAGGTACGGTAATGTGTCCTCTCATATTTTAATACATTTTTGGCATGATTGCAAAAATTTCTAAATGTCGTTCTGCGCTTTGAAGTTTATAAGCATTTATCATCGAAAATAAACAGTGGTATTAAAAGCTATTTTAATCCTTTCAGACCGAGTTAAACATACCAGAGATAGTTAAAGCCTTACGTCGTTGGTTGCTTTGATTATCAGGGGTACGATGTATTTTCCAATATTAAATATTGGTCACAATTTAATTATTGTTTACTTTTACTTAGCAAATTCTTCTACAATGAATAATGTTAGCATACTACATGTAATAATTGAGGCTCTACAATGAATAATGTTAGCATACTACATGTAATAATTGAGGCTCTACAATGAATAATGTTAGCATACTACATGTAATAATTGAGGCTCTACAATGAATAATGTTAGCATACTATATGTAATAATTGAGGCTCTACAATGAATAATGTTAGCATATTACATGAAATAATTGAGGCACTTACAGTGAAGAAAATTGGAAGACGTGGACAGTTGGATGAAATTAAGAGAACCTTGAAGCCTGAATAAAACCATTGGGAGGCCAATGAATAAAACCGTTATAAGGTCAATGAATCAAATCAGTGGGAAGGTCAATAAATCAAAACAGTTAGAAGGTCAATAAATCAAAACAGTTAGAAGGTCACAAAGTCAAAAAAACAGTTGGAAGGTCAATGAATCAAAACAGTTGGGATGTCACAGAATCAAAACAGAAGGAAGCTCAATGAATCAAATCAGTGGGAAGGTCAATCAATCATCAGTGGGAAGGTCAATCAAAACAGTTGGAAGGTCAATGAATCAAAACAGGTCGAAGGTCACAAAGTCAAAAAAAGTTAGAAGGTCACTGAGTCAAAACAGGTGGCAGGTCAATGAATCAAAACAGTTGGGATGTCACAGAATCAAAACAGGTGGCAGGTCAATGAATCAAATCAGTTGGGATGTCACAGAATCAAAACAGGTGGCAGGTCAATGAATCAAATCAATTGGAAGGTCAGTGAATGGAAACAGTTGGAAGGTCAGTGAATGGAAACAGTTGGAAGGTCAGTGAATCAAAACAGTTGAAAGGTCAGTGAATCAAATCAGTTGGAAGGTTAGTGAATGGAAACAGTTGGAAGGTCACTGAATGGAAATACTTAGAAGGTCAGTGAAGCAAATCAGTTGGAAGGTCAATGAATCAAATCAGTTGGAATCAAATCAGTTGGAATGTCAATGAATCAAATCAGTTGGAAGGTCAATGAATCAAATCAGTTGGAAGGTCAGTGAATGGAAATAGTTGGAAGGTCAATGAATCAAATCAGTTGGAAGGTCAATGAATCAAAACAGTTGGAAGGTCAATGAATCAACTGATGTTGGAAGGTCAATGAATCAAATCAGTTGGAAGGTCAATGAATCAAATCAGTGGAAAGGTCAATGAATCAAATCAGTTGGAAGGTCAATGAATCAAACAGTAGGAAAGTCAATGAATCAAAACAATCATTTAGTCAAATGAGAGACATTTGGCATTTAGGAGGAGAGAGAGAAAGATATATAAGACCTGTAAGCAAATTGCAGTCAGAATTACATGTATGTTTTTGAGTGTGAAACTTGCCTACATTTTGATTGTTACCTTGTGAGCTACTGTATTTAAGATCTTGTTTAGTTGATTTCATTTATAATACAGAGTTTTGATTCATAAAGTATACCATTTTCCTGGCCTAATATTAAACGATAAGTAGGTGAAGCATACATCAATTTGGTACATAAGAATGACTTTGTTGAAAAGACGAAATGCAGAACTATAATTTTTAAATGATTCCAAAATAAATAAAGGACAATCTTAGAGTTTATCAAGCTAAACTTTACTGGTTATTTTAGATTTCAGATAAAAAAGCTATGACAAGTAATATCAATAAATAATCAGAAGAAATACAGTAAGCCTCTTCTATTAAAAGGAAACATTTTAAGCATTAATTAGTAGAATTCCTTTGCAACTGTGTTGAAAACTGCATATGAATCAGTTAGTTTTGACTGTTATTAATAAGTGTACAATTTTGTATATATGTTTGATGTTATTAATGGGTAAAGACTTAGCCTGATCAGATTAATAGTCTATAAACTTATATTTATGTCAGATGTCGACTTTTTATGATTCAGAAAGTTGATAATTATTTTATACATAATGTTTTATTGCACTCAAAGACACCTCTTTGTGAGTATTTCAACTACTGTCACAAGAAGTTAAATTTGAAAAAATACTGGTTTTTTTCTGCATGTGAAAAATAAAGGCAACAGTAGTATACCGCTGTTCAAAAGTCATAAACAGATTAAAGAGAAAACAAATCTGGGTTACAAACTAAAACTGAGGGAAACACATCAACTATAAGAGGAAAACAACGGAACAACAGAAACACATTACTGCAACAAAAACAAACACCAACATACATAGAAACAGACTATTTGATAACAACTGCCATATTCCTGACTTGGCACAGGACATTTTAAGAAAAAATGGTGGGTTGAGCCTGGCTTTATGGCTAGCCAAACCTCCCGCTTATATGGCAATGTTAAAAAATATTTCGCTAAAATGACAACACTACGTGTCAGGAATACAGTACAAACAAATGCGAACACTCAGCACAGAGAAATGCATAAATAAATAATATGATAGTACATTACAACATGTAAACCGCAGAATAACAACGGACATTGTTTGGAAATTGAATAATGAGTTGTCCATGAAAGTTTTGAACTCTTATGAAATCAGATTCAAAGCATATGCACTGGAGGCATATTATGCATAGTTAAAAGAAAATTTTGTTCTCATAAGGACTTAGTGTCCGTGTGGAACAGATTAATGACCAGTCCCCCTCATTCTGTTCTCTAAAAGATTTGGGACATTAAAGAATTATTCAGCATAATCCCTTTTATTCTTAAAAATCTGTACAATAATTTATAACAAACAGAGACATTTTTCCTTCAAGAACTGTCCATGAATACCTGAATTTTTTCATGTTTTACCAAAGATTACCACAATATATAACGAAATAAAATCTAAATCTTCATTTAGTTATGTTTATAGAAACTAAACATGATTTGAAAAATTTGATATATTTTATCGATGTTTAGTCTATAATATATCTTTGTAATGACAGTTCAAGGTTTGAAGACAAACAAAAGATGGACTTGAAATTTACTTAATAAATTAGTTTTAGACACTTCAGATTGAAAAGTTATGAATCACACACAATTTTCTTTATTAATAAGTTGTTGAGACACAAAACATAATGGTTTGTAAACATCTTGGAATGTGACTTTGTTTGGTAAGAATAAACATGGTCAGTCACTTATTACTAGAAAAAGTGTGTCGTAACTGATACTGGATCTAGAAATATTATCAGGATTCCTTTGTCATCATGATCTTACTTTGGAAAGATATAATCACTTGGCATCCAAAGGTCAGAAGGTGTTAGCATTTGGCAAATGTAGAATTGGGACTGTTTTTTCAACCTTACATAAATTTCTGATCATTTTAATTAGCCATCTAGATTCTTGATATAGATTGCAGGGGCCATGGGACTAAGTGATATAGTTACATTTGTAAGAGGTTCCATGTTGGTTAAGACAACTAGATGCGTGATATAGGTTGGAGGGGCCATGGGACCAAGTGATATAGTTAAGAGGGTCCATGTTGGTCTAGACATTTTGATGAGTAACATAGGTCGGAGGGGCCATTGGACCAAGTGATATAGTTAAGAAGGTCCATGTTGAAAGAGAAATGTGGATTATTAATATATCTACATAGATCTCCTTCAGTCTGTCACTGTTATGGTTGGGATTCTTCTGGTCATTTGCTAAAATGGTGACATTTACCTAGGTACACGATAGAATTTATCGGGTACTCACTTATGTTGTTGGATTACTAAGACCTAACTCTTGGTATTTCTGTTCAATCAAATTCAACCTTTAAACCCATGCATAAACAACTTAGATTAATTTTGCATTAAAGGGGCATTAGCTACGAGATATAAAAAAAAATTAAAATATGATTTTTTTTGTTCAATCATTAATGAAAGTGAAACAGTGAAATAATAATTCGCTTTTAGCAGCCAGTTTGGTTTAATTTTGTCAAAATAAGATAAGAAACATCGCTGATGAATTATTCACTTGCAAGTGAATAATTTGACCTCATTGAATCCGTATTCCTGTGACCTTCAATTTAACCCCTTAGCTAGAGATGGGTTACGGATGAATTAAATGTGTTCAGTTTTTAAAAGGAAAAGAATGTTAACTTTGAAAATGAAACAAGGGTAAACCATTTGATTGACTGATTCAATCAACAAAATCTCATTTTTATACAGGTAAAAACGATGATTAACATATATTTTTAACCTATAATATGAAATCAAACAGACCTGGAAAAATCCAATTGCACGAGTTCGCTATCTATTTATGTTTATATCGAGATAAATGACCATTGGCAGTCTTTGGAGGTCACCTTGATGGTTAATTAGATGGTGTCTAGACTAAAATACACACGAAATCCTGATACATATTATTGATCCCATGCATTGTAAATTGTTTATTTTAGACTTTTTATAATTTAGATATACATTTTAGTATGTTATAAATCAAATATGAGAATTTGAGTCAAATCAGTGATCATGAATTTGACAGCTAATGCCCCTTTAAGTGGCAAGATCTAAGAAACCCAAAGTCATAAAGGAATGATAATTAAGTAGTACATTCATTTTTGATTGAAACAAAGGTCTATACAAAACTGGATCACCATGACCTACATTTTACACAATTTTGATTCTGAATAATTTGTATACATATAATGGTTCCAGTTCCAATCGATATGATACGAGTAAAAATAGTAATCAACTGATTTATTTAGTTAGGGCCTTGCCTAGTGGCGGGTTGCCCTATAGTGATCAGTCTGTCTGTCCGTCCGTCAGTAACAAATTGTGTCCACAGACTCCACACTATATTATAGTTTCATACTTTATACTTGACATGTATATTAACCAACAACAGAGGGTGTGTCATAATGTTTGTACAACTTCCTAGGTCAAAGTTGACGGTCAGCAAGGCCCACAGAGAATGATGTCTTGTTTTTACAAACCATGATAAAACCTTATAGATCTTTTTTTCTATTTCCAGCTAGGATAGGAACAACAAATCTAAATGAGAGAGATATGGAACAGTGGTTAAAACATACACCCTCCAGAAGAAAGGGGGACAACAAATTGTTTAGAAAACTCCATGACAAAGGTTGGTAGATACTTGGTAGCACATAAAATGTTCAAATAAAGACCCAATAATAATTTACAAATGTTAGTAGATACCTAGCAGTACATGAAAACTCCATGACAATCCAACATAAAATACTGAACTACAAAAGCTAGTACATACTTAATTTTACATTAAACTCAATGACAAAATCTGGTAGATATTTATAGCTGTACATGAACACTCCAAGACAAGTTTGATAGATACTAAGTCTTACATAATTCCCCGAAATAAGGTTGGTAGATGTTTAATTGTACATTAAACTCCATGACAAAATCTGGTAGATATTTATAGCTGTACATGAACACTCCAAGACAAGTTTGATAGATACTAAGTCTTACATAATTCCCCGAAATAAGGTTAGTAGATGTTTAATTGTACATTTAACTCCATGACAAAAAAACTGGTAGATACTAAAAAAGTATAACAAAAACACTGAAATCCAAGGAAAATTCAAAAAAGCGAAGTCCTTAAAAACTGACAAAATCAAAATGCTATCAATCAACGGAACAAGTGAAAAACAACTGCCATATTCCTGACTTGGTACAGGCATTTGCCAAAGAAAATGGTGTAACAAACCTGGTTTTATAGCTAGCTAAACCTAAGCCAAGTGATTTATAACACTACATGACATAGGTTGGCATTGATACTACTTTAATAGTCATACATGAAACCTCCACGACAAAGGTTGGTTACAATAATTTGTTGTACTTGAAAATTCGATGTTAAAGGTTAATTGGTAGATATTAAGTACTACACCAAAGTTTCAAGATGTGAAATACTGAGTGTCATAGATTCTGTATAAAAATATATTACAGTGAAAAATGGAATTGTAATATTTGTCATCAGTGAAAAATATAGATGGTTCTTCAGTGGACAGTTTACCTTTAATAGGAAATGTTCCTACAGTTTTGAATAGGTGCTTTTTATCTTTAATTCTGGACTAAACTTCAGTTCTGGATTTTAAAGGGAATTAGATAGTACGAGGCAGCCATAGATAGTTAGGTTTCTAAGTTAGAACTAGATTAAGGACAGATTATCTTGTGCATATAAACTGAATATAGAATATTCTCATTCAAACATTGTTAATTGATTTTGCCAAAAAATCCGGTCATAAATGTGTTTTTATAGAGCAATAATTTGTACCAATTAACACCCATGTACTTTACAAAAAAAGATTGGTATATTTATGTACATGTAAAATATGTTTTGCTATGAGAGTTTATAGAGTTGTTCTTTAACAGTTTCTGTCGTGAATATGTGGCATTTTTCTTTGATATTTGTTTTGGATAACATGTAAATGTTTGTAAGACCTTCTACCATGATTAACCCTTGCTGAGCTACTAGTTTGGCTCAACACCAAGTTATAGTAAGCTTAACATAGACAAGATGTTAACACCTGTTTCTTTCTAGAGTCTAGACAAAATCATTATGACTTTCCTATTTTTCAAAGGTTTTTTTTAATTTCTTTTAAATAATCTGGATGATTTATTGTAATGAGAGATGAATGATTGTTTAAGAATACTTTAATTTTTATTCAAGTTATTTTTAATGATCATTTTCAAAAGAAATTTCTTTTTCCACCATGAGAGCTTTAACGGTTTGATATGTGAAGAAAGTTAAAAATAATACTTTTAAGTTAAATTATTTTTTAATGTCCCTTAGCACATTAGAAAAAGTCCAGTTAAAATGGGTTTAGCAATTAGTAATATTTCTAGCGAGTTTGTTTATTCTATTAAAACTTAATTGTACTTGAACAATCTGAATATTCCTGTGGTTGAAAATAGCTACTTTTGTGTGGGTGTCTTTTAGCTAACAGAAATTTACATAATTTTTGTTGGGGCCTTGGCTGTCTAGTGGTTTAAGTAGTCTAACTACTGTATCACTAGAATGTCAACACTCAGGTTGTGAGTTTGATCCAAGGCACATGGTAGGTGACGTTCGACTCCAATCTGAATGGACTAGGAGTTTTCCTACCAAGGTCCGTGGTTCTCTCAGGGTACTCCGACTTCCTCCACCAATAAAAATTGACCGCCACAATATCGCCAATAGTGCTGAAAGTCAACAACCAACACTCAATCAATCATAGTTTTTGTTAAGAAACATTATAATTGTTTGAAATTCTTTTCGAAAAAAAATCAAATAAAGTTAGCTCCTAATATTAAGACTATGAAAATAATAAGATGTGAAATGATTGCCAAGGAGACAACTATTATCCCCCAGAGACATAATGTCTTAGAGGTAAGCTATAGGTCATTGTACTGTACTAGTTTTTTACAAACCAGAATTTTGGTAAATCCAAAAAAACCCAAGTGTACCGTAAGTAGGCCAGGGGAACCATATGTTTGAGTGTAGATGTTCTGAATGTTTAGGAACTTTGATCTATCTTATATAAACAGAATTAAAAATGAACTTCTATGCCTTCTCTCCAATGTAAAACACAACAACATTAAATAAACAATGTTTCAATCCTTAGGACAGAAACTTACATATGTTGTAAGAGAGAAGTGAAAAGGTAATTAAGATATAGTGAAACCAAAAATATGTGTTAGTCTTCCTGTATTTTAAAGACTTACAACTACAAAAAAATATAGTGTTTGTAGCTGTGGTTACTTGTAAAAAGTAATGTGAAGAAGTCACTGGGTGATCTATAGATTTACTCTCAGGACCAAGTTAACTATTTATGGTCCTGTCCTAAGTCAGATACCTTGATGCTGGTTGTTTTATGGCATATCTAACGGGTTGTTTTGTTCTTGGTTGTTTTATGGCATATCTAATGGGTTGTTTTGTTCTTGGTTGTTTTATGGCATATCTAATGGGTAGTTTTGTTCTGTGTTGTTTTATGGCATATCTAATGGGTTGTTTTGTTCTATGTTGTTTTATGGCATATCTAATGGGTTGTTTTATGGCATATCTAATGGGTTGTTTTGTTCTTTGTTGTTTTATGACATATCTAATGGGTTTTGTTCTGTGTTGTTTTATGGCATATCTAATGGGTTGTTTTGTTCTATGTTGTTTTATGACATATCTAATGGGTTGTTTTGTTCTATGTTGTTTTATGACAGATCTAATAGGTTGTTTTGTTATTTGTTGTTTTATGACATATCTTATGGGTTGTTTTGTTCTATGTTGTTTTATGGCATATCTAATGGGTTGTTTTGTTATATGTTGTTTTATGGCATATCTAATGGGTTGTTTTGTTTTTTGTTGTATTATGGCATATCTAATGGATTGTTTTGTTCTATGTTGTTTTATGGCATATCTAATGGGTTGTTTTGTTCTTTGTTGTTTTATGGCATATCTAATGGGTTGTTTTGTTCTATGTTGTTTTATGGCATATCTAATGGGTTGTTTTGTTATTTGTTGTTTTATGACATATCTAATGGGTTGTTTTGTTCTGTGTTGTTTTATGGCATATCTAATGGGTTGTTTTGTTCTATGTTGTTGTATGGCATAACTTATGGGTTGTTTTGTTCTTTGTTGTTTTGTGGCATATCTAATGGGTTGTTTTGTTCTTTGTTGTTCTATGGCATATCTAATGGGTTGTTTTGTTCTATGTTGTTGTATGGCATAACTTATGGGTTGTTTTGTTCTTTGTTGTTTTGTGGCATATCTAATGGGTTGTTTTGTTCTTTGTTGTTCTATGACATATCTAATGGGTTGTTTTGTTCTATGTTGTTTTATGGCATATCTAATGGGTTGTTTTGTTCTGTGTTGTTTTATGGCATATCTAATGGGTTGTTTTGTTCTTTGTTGTTTTATGGCATATCTAATGGGTTGTTTTGTTCTATGTTGTTTTATAACATATCTAATTGGTTGTTTTGTTCTGTGTTGTTTTATGACAGATCTAATAGGTTATTTTGTTATTTGTTGTTTTATGACATATCCTATGGGTTGTTTTGTTCTATGTTGTTTTATGGCATATCTAATGGGTTGTTTTGTTATATGATGTTTTATGGCATATCTAATGGGTTGTTTTGTTATTTGTTGTTTTATGGCATATCTAATGGGTTGTTTTGTTATTTGTTGTTTTATGGCATATCTAATGGGTTGTTTTGTTTTTTGTTGTTTTATGACATATCTTATGGGTTGTTTTGTTCTATGTTGTTTTATGGCATATCTAATGGGTTGTTTTGTTCTATGTTGTTTTATGGCATATCTAATGGGTAGTTTTGTTCTATGTTGTTTTATGACATATCTAATGGGTTGTTTTGTTATTTGTTGTTTTATGGCATATCTAAAGGGTTGTTTTGTTCTATGTTGTTTTATGGCATATCTAATGGGTTGTTTTGTTATTTGTTGTTTTGTGGCATATCTAATGGGTTGTTTTGTTCTATGTTGTTTTATGACATATCTAATGGGTTGTTTTGTTCTTTGTTGTTTTATGGCATATCTAATGGGTTGTTTTGTTCTATGTTGTTTTATGACATATCTAATGGGTAGTTTTGTTTTTTGTTGTTTTATGGCATATCTAATGGGTTGTCTTGTTCTATGTTGTTTTATGGCATATCTAATGGGTAGTTTTGTTCTATGTTGTTTTATGACATATCTAATGGGTTGTTTTGTTCTATGTTGTTTTATGGCATATCTAATTGGTTGTTTTGTTCTTTGTTGTTTTGTGGCATATCTAATGGGTAGTTTTGTTCTTTGTTGTTTTATGGCATATCTAATGGGTTGTTTTGTTCTATGTTGTTTTATGACATATCTAATGGGTAGTTTTGTTCTATGTTGTTTTATGGCATATCTAATGGGTTGTTTTGTTCTATGTTGTTGTATGGCTTATCTAATGGGTTGTTTTGTTCTTGGTTGTTTTATGACATATCTAATGGGTTGTTTTGTTATTTGTTGTTTTATGGCATATCTAATAGGTTGTTTTGTTCTATGTTGTTTTATGGCATATCTAATGGGTAGTTTTGTTCTTTGTTGTTTTATGGCATATCTAATGGGTTGTTTTGTTCTATGTTGTTTTATGACATATCTAA